TTACAGGATCTGTCTGGCTTTAGTCCACATTTCTCTTACTGGTAGCAGATCCTGTTCAAAAGACTGAAACCAGCAGTGTGCTAGTTGAAGTTACTCACGCACAAATGTATGAGTGGATGTTCTGAGAAGGATCGTTTCCTACAAGATCTCAGCAAATGATACTCAAATAGGAGGAAAGTGTGTTTTTGACAGGCACTGGTTTCAGCAGGATGATGTATTTGGGACTGAATTCAAACAAAGTGCACAGGTTTACTGCCATAAAGCAACATGTCGCCCAGTGCAACAGATTGGCTCACTCGTGTGTTTTTAATAGTTTTAGGGTGCAGACGAATAAGATATGTCAGGCTTTGATTGGCACCTGTCACAGGATGGGATGTATGAGGCAGCAAGTCAACTGGAGTCAAGTTGTGGAAGTTGATGTTAGAAGCTGGAGAAATGGGCAACGGACGGATCTGAGCAACACTGAGAAGGACCAAACTGAGTCAGAGAGTCTCTGAAATGGCAGGATTTTTGGGGTTTTTCCAGTATGTCGTGGTTAGTACCAAAGTTGGTCCAACGGAGGAAAAGGTCATCGTTACCAAAGACTTCCTGATCTACGTGGAGAGGGAAGGCTGGTCTGTAGAGATTAACTGTTTATAGAGGCCAGTGTTTGGCTTTTTTCTGAGTATTGGTACAATATTTGGTATTCTGATGCAGCTTCCTCTCTCTGAAGTCTCTAAATGTCCCGCCTACATGTCACAGCCAGTAACTGAAAGCTATTGTTTACGCAGAGAGACAGACGAGCACATTTGCAGAGCGGGGCAGTTGTGATGAACGAGGGTATTGGGAAGGTGAGGTAGCAGATGTTGTTCAGGTTGTAATAAACACCACGATTTAACTCGAGCACGATCAGTTTCCCTGTTACGCTAAAAACACCCCAACAGTTCATATTTTGCAGCGATGCTAGGCAAAGGCTATGATGAAGAAGTTTGCTGTGTCTGTCTGGAGCTGCTGACCAGTCACAGTGGTAATCCTGCCCCATGGGGTTTATTTGAAGAGTTCATTTGCAATAACAGATAAACTCCATTTTTGTAGATTTTCAGAAAACTTATTTTTTGTTGTTTGCTTGAGATAATATCAATCAAACTGAAGCTGAGTGGATTTGACTCTGTAGAAATGACAAAAATAGAGATAACTTAAGTTTGATGCTGTCTCAGATAGATGATGTAGAAGTGGGTTTTCTGAAGGTTTGTGAAGATGCAGGTATCTGTTTCTGCAAATGAACTCTTCATTTGTTGAATGTTTTGTTTGGAAACCTCGGGTCACCTTAGGTCACTTTGGGTATGTTGCTTCTTGTTCAGGACTGGTTGGAAGACAAATAGTCGAAGGTGTCGACTCGGTCTCCGAATGCCACAGATCACAATCTGACCGAGTATCTGTGGGATCTGAAAAACAAGTCCGACCCATTGAGGCTCCACCTCATCGTTTACACAAGCATGTCGCTGATGTGATGACGCAGCTTCCATTTACTTGGAAATACCATGAAGATTTCCTCAGAGCCCCTCTCTCATTTCGCTGCAGTCAGTGACAAGATCTGCTCCCTGGAATCTGATTCATTCCTGGAGCTCAGGCTTCCTGACCACTCAGTTTCCTCCGTACGGTTTTTATTGTGTAGCTTTTGGAATTTACTGGTGACGCTGGTGATGTCATACATCCGTCAACTAAAGGAAAGGAGATGAAAGAAACTGGTCCTCACAGATCTTATGATAACTCAATAGAAACTCCTTCACCCGTCCTCTCCTCTGATTGGTCGCCCTCACCTTTACCTGTTGGTTACCCTCATCTATCCACCTGGTTTCAGTTCCAGGCAGCAGGTTTGGTCAGAAAACCTGAGTTTCTGGCTGACGGAGCTGTCAGACAGGCAGCTTCACGTTCCTTATTGATCCGATCGATATCAGAGCTCATTAGTTTGTGGAGATTCACGCTGAGAGACGATGATCCTGATCGGATGTCAGATCAGAGAACTCTGACGTGACGGCGTCAGTCAGAACCTTGATCCCTGCTGTCACACTGAATGTCATGAATCCACTTCAAACATCTCCTTTGTTCTGCTGCGACATCACTCCACTGAACTGTTTACTGTAATTTACCGAAGTTATCTTGAAGTAATAAATAATGCAGCGCGAGGCTTTATACACGACCGGTGCACGGTGTATTAGTGCGCAGTGATCTCATGTTTTCATGCTGTAATTGATCACACTGATGGAATATTCCTGTCATACGTATTGTACATCTTAATGGAGATGAAGTGTGTGATCCTGAGCCTTGAGCACCTCCAGCCTGCATTAATGCATCTGCGTCACTTAGATCTGTGGGTTTTAAGAGGCACCGGCGGGTTTCAAAGGCATGTTGTGTTTTAAAATCGCCAAAATTACAACTTTTGAGCGGAAATCGTGAGTACAGAAAGAACTGTCAGATTTTTCCATCTTCATCTGTGGACGTTGGGACACCAGATCTGAGCGTAGAATTGTGATCGAAACCATGTCGTATTCAATAAATCCATAAAATGACATGTTTGCTGCAATCAGATGCGTTAAAATATATATATAGTAATAATAATATGGGTCGTAGCTCAGCAGTGACGTGAGCAAATCTCAGGGACTTTTCCACTGAACTGCAGGTAATGTTTACCCGAAGCAAAGAGGAGACGGGTCGAGAAGCAAAGTGGAAATGTAATGAAGCATCTGTAGCATGTAGAGTCCCTTTTGTTTTGTCTTTTACAGCGTTGGTAAAAATTTATGTGCATTTGGAAAAATTTGGGAAATTCCAGGTGGTTTCCATTTGGGTACGATAAAAAACCAAAGAGGATCAACTTTCGCTTTATCTTTTGTCTGATTTATGGCATTCTAACCGCGTCACGCTGTGAAAGAACCAAAATGTTCTGAGTTCTCTCTTCTTTGTTCGGTTTCCATGGAGGTGCAGAACTTTATATCGCAATGAAGTGAAAATGGTAAAAAAAACGCCGACAGTTCAGATACAGAACCAGCAGGACGTTGGTTTTTTCTGCATCACTTAATCAATTAGTTCACTGTCATCCAATGGTTGAACAAATAAAGTCACGTCCGACCTATAAATGTTCAGTTTACTGTTACATGACGAAGAGATCAGCAGATCTTCACGTGTAAAAGCTGCAACCAGAAAACAGTCAGATGGTGGCTTCTTTTTCTGATGGTGCTGGTTTGTTGTCGATTACTTGATGAACTCGTCCTCGTCTCTGTGTTGGTAGATGTTCATGAAGTCTGTTTGTCATTCCAGCTGCAGATTTCCTGAATCGCTGCTGCTGAGTGACTTGTGGTTCCACATAAATGCTATTGATGTAAACATGCTTTTAAAGATGCATTCGTTCATCTTCAGGTGTTTAGCTGAGTTGGTCTCTGGACCAGCTTCACCTTCTAGACTTTCTGTTTTCAGCAGCAACACAGCGTCTCTTTGTGTTTCACCGTTACTCTGATTACCTCTGAGTCCTTTCACACTCTTCATCATGGCTCCTGTTTCAGAGTTTCCAGTAAGTGGCCCCCCTCCCTCCACAGCAGACCGTCTGTGCTGCCCGTTGAATCCGCCTCTGACTAAGAATCAGACGTCTCCGTTAGTCACTTTCACATTTGTTCTCATTCAACGCTCGTGTTTTGGTTTTAAGGCGACGCATTAGCCTGGTGTTTACAGAGGGGAAGCGTCGCCACCTCCGACGGCTCCAGCATCACCAGCAGTGAGTCAGTGGGCTCCACTGTCGTCTGTCCGTCAGATTAGAGCCCCGCCGTCGCCTCCCAGTGGAGACGGGCGGAAACTGCACGGCTGAGCAGCTCATTTCCAGGAAATGATTTCAGTGGGCGTCGGTGAAGGCCTGGCAGCGTGAGGACACTGGTGGGAAAGAATGTGAGCAGCAACAGTTCAGCAGGACTCATGGGATGCCGGGGAGGGGAGGAGGGCTGAGGTCAGAGGGTGTTTTTCCGTTAATCGATAAGATCTTGTTGTTTTTGTTGAGACGGGGCCGATACAGGTGGCTTCTTGGGTGTTTTTTCCACCGGTCCTGGTGTTTTACCTGCTGTGGTGGATGGAAATTACCACATGTGAGTGTGTGGGCTGGAACCTCGTCAGAGACCTTTACTGAAGGGAATCTACCGGCTGGAGGTGGAGGACTCGTCCTCAGCACTCATTTGCATGTGTTTTTCCCCTAAAGCTGCTGATGGTGTTTGTGATGTTCGTCAGTGAGTTCGGTAGAACACAGGGAGGCTGTAGACGTCTGATGCTCTACAGTCTGCTGAAAGGGTTTGTTTTGTCTGAAGTCTTGACGAATCTTTTTAATATTCATTCGTCATTGAATCTTCTGGCTTCTTCTGGTCTCGTGTCATCGTGTGTGTGATCATACGTTTAACTCTTTTGTGGTCTTTTTGTCAGTTTTACTAAAAACGACACATCCAAGATGGTTTATGATCATCTGGGTAGGAATGCTTTGCTTCACTAAAGAGAATCAGGGCGTCTTGGTGAGGACACCCAGGATCTTTCTGCGTGGAGTCTCCATGTTCTCCCCGTGCAGCGTGGGTTCTCTCCGGGTTCTCCAGCTTCCTCACACAGTCCAGAAACATGCTGAGGTTAATTGGTGATTGTAAATTGTCTGTAGGTGTGAATGTGAGTGTGCTTGGTTGTCTGTCTCTAAGTGTAGCCCTGTGATAGACTGGTTACCTGTCCAGGTGAACCTGCCTTCACCCTGAGTCAGCTGGGATAGACTCCAGCCCCCCATGACCCTAGTGAGGATTAAGCGGAGTATAGATGATGGATTTTAATCGATGACTTGTTTCAGCCTTAAAGGGAATCTACCTTTATACACCTACCTGTGGGATTTTTGTTTTTAACATCCAAACAGGCCTTTTAGGAAGTGTGCCTGCCTGTGGGTTGCTTACAGCCGGTCAGCAGTAAACACTCGTCTGCTAACGCTTCCTTTTTTTCTCTCTTCTGTTCACCAGGACCGCTTCGCTGAAATCTTCGGCCAGGACGCGGCAGCCGAGAGCCGGAGGTCTCAGGAGAGCTTCAAGAAGTGGCTGCTGGTGGGGATGACGGTGGTGACCGGGGTCGTGGTCGGTTCGCTCATCGCCCAGAAACGCCTGTGAGAGGACCAGAGCCCCCCCACCCCACCCCCCCTCCACTACCCCCCTCTGAACCCGCCGCCGCCCTCCACGTCCTCATGAAGGTCCTGTTGGTCTCATCAGAACTGCTGATGATGTTTACTCCCCCGTCGTGCGTCCAGCAGCAGGCCGAGAAACCCTCAAACGTTTGCCGAACTTTTGAGGACAGGAAGGACAGAGTTATTGGTGTTCTTGTGTTTGTTCCAACCCCGACGGAAACGTGTGGTTATACAAAGAAAGACATGTTATTGTTTCACCTCACTGAACCGGTTGTTCCATTATTCACTCGTTCCTGCATCTTGTTTCTTCCTGTATGTATTAGTTTTAACAATTTTTTGTTTTTGTTTTGTTTCCCATCATTGAAAACGGGCTGATTCTAGTCTTACAATTAACCCCAGCGTGTGTGATTTGAGGAGTTCTGGGCTCTGCTTTGTCTTATCATGTAGTTGGTTCTGCCAGACAGCACTGCTGTATGTGCCATATGGAGAGTGGAAGCAGGGGAGGATGCAGCGGCGTCCCCCGACCACCATCGCATACAGAAGTACAGCGTCGCTCTCGCCTCACCCTGTCTCCTCACGCTTTTTGTTTTTTTGTACGAATGTTGCGTTCAAGTGACTCAAGCGGACGACATGAGAATCTTAAACTAAAACTAATGGGAAACTAAATCTCCTGCGTGTTTGTGTTTGTTGGTGCGTTTTTTGTTTTTTGTATTACTGAACCATTAAAATGCCACTGCTCCTGCTTGATCTGTGCTTCGTGGTCATAACTCGGCCTCGGGTCGATCCTCCGACTTGTCAGAGTCGGATCGACCGCATTTCTCAGACGTGTTTACTCCACAGTAGCTGAAGGACGCAGCAGATTCTGTAGCATCGCGTACAAACCGACGGAGCGATCGTTAGCCGTCACCGTCTCGCTGGGTGGACGTCTGCCTGTACAGCTGTCATTTGGCGACACTTTGTTTATGTTAATCTGCTTTTAAATGCTAAATAAGGGAGGTGGTGTTGAAATAAACTGCACCCGACACGCTGTAACGTAGTTGTAAGCAGAGATGTTGAAGTGTCGGATGCTAATTCGTCGAGTACAAACAGTACATCACAGCGAATCAGACACACAGAGAGTGTTTACAATTGAGCTCAAAGTTTCATTGTTGATCTTAAACAGTGTAAATTCTTCTTTCAAACGCTTTTATTCAAAGCGGCGAACATCGGAGAGCGGATCTAGTCAGTTCAGCTTCATTAACTGGACTCATTTCGTGGCTTTTATTCACACGCCTAGTTGTCATGAAGCACAAAGAAGATGTGTTCATAAAACAAACGTAATAAAACTTTAGTAAATACAGAGATATAGATGTAAATAAATGCAGCATCGTCTGTTTAGCATCATAACTGTAACTTTAATGACAGTTTTCTGTTACTGATGCTTCAAAAACAACTTTTCTAAAACCCTCACTCGTCCTCGTCTCTGTTTGCAGCTACTTTATAGTGTTAGAATCAACATAATGTTTATGGTGCTGCAAATAACAGCTAATTGGTTAAAAGTTCATCAGTTTGGATATTTGATTGTTACTAATTAAAATATGATGTGAAGCCGTTAATTGCTTCTACACACTGTCTAGTTTGGGGGCAGCGCGTTAAATCTTCACTCGTTTTGCAATAAAGTTCCAATCGTGTGCTGTGATGTTCAAGCCGAAGACTAGTTTTGCTGTTTTTTTATTTTCCCTCCACTGTTTCCTAATCAGTCCTTATTTGGGAACCATTAGTCGAGTTTCTGCGCCACAGCTCACGCTCCATGTCGTCGCCGCCGCCGCCTTCCTCTTAAGACTCTATGTAGCGAGCCGACGGTTCTGCATCACATGTTCTCTGAGTCGAATTTGTCCGCCATCTTGAGCAAATCGAAAGCTGTCGGCGGCTGCGGGAGCGTGAAGCTGAGACGCCTGAAGCCTCCATCCTCGCTTCCGCCTCGCTCCTCCCCAGGCGCCTCGGATCTGTCAAACCTCCGTCTCCGCCCGGCTCCACCTCTTCCTGCTGCAGTCCCACCGCTGTCACCGCATCCAGCCACGTGTGTCACTCACAGCTGGAACACCTGCCGCCGCCGCACACACACCTGGGCGCACACACACACACACACACACCTACCTGCCAGTCACATGACGTCCACAGGAGATGATGGAGGAGGAGGAGGGGGGGAGGATGGAGGCTTCGCTTTTTCCTTTCTGAACATCCACCCGTCTTTAATTTAAAGCAGGAGGAGCTTTTATGCACCAACAACTGGCAGCTCCGTTAATTTACTGGGAAGGATGGTGGTGGTGGTGGTGGTGGTGGGGGGTTGGCATGTGTGTTCCCAGAATCCTCCCACTGCTTCAGACTTGATCACATTCCAACATCCAGCCAACAACAATATGTCCCGGTGTTAAAGCGGCACAATAACACACACACACACACACACACAGGTGCTGTTTTTCTTTTTCCTTTTCTTATCAAGGCACCGATTCCAAACGTTAAAGCAAACACCATCCGGATGTGAGACATTAATCACTACATTCCCAGTGTGAGAGTGCAGCCACCAGCGGCGCCGCCGTCTTCAAAGCACGCCGTCATTACAGTCCCTTCTTTTTTTTTTTGAACCCACATTTACACCGACGAACACGGATTTCTCAAATATTTCACCGAATCCAAAAATGCGATCCTCTAAATGCTTCTACTCGAGCGTCCTGTTCGCTCACACATTCCAGTGCAGTATATATATATTTTTCTAGCCCCATCAAGAAGCTGCTCACAGGCTTGTTTTTTTGTTTTTTTTGTTTCTTCTCTGCTCTCATTTAAACCGATTCTCCTTTTTGCACATCCTGTGCGTTTGTCTGTGCGAGTGTGTGAGTGTTTGTTTCGCAAAAATGTTCTTGAAGGAGGCACAAATGAAGGAAGTGTGACAGCATTGGCACGACCCCTATATATATGCTAGTTATTGAAACCGATTAGAATAGTACGTTAGCTTAGTGACATATTTAAGAAGGAAAAAAAAAAACAGAACTGATGGCTTTTAAACTTTATTTATATTTGGTGTAAAAGAAAAAAAAAAAAAAAGCATAATCGTGCCCTTCAAATGGCCTTAAACTCCATCTTTGCATTGATGTGCATTGTCAGGTTCTTTTTGTTTTTTTGTTTTTTTTTCAGGATTATTGGACCAACACTAGACAAGAAAATGCAAGAGAAAGGATATTTTCAACAACAGCAACAAAAACAAAGTTGTCTCTGGTGCATTCTTGTACAAAACCACGTCCGATGGTCTCTTTGTATGTCTTTAGAATGCCACTGTAAAAATTTAAATTACATTGAACCCAATAAAGCCCAATGTTGGAAGATGTGCCGAGTCCGTCTCGTCCTTTGCGAAGCGTTGAGAAGAGCTTCCTCTTTAGAACATTAAATATTCAAGGTTTCGAGCAGCAGCTGAAATGAGCCAGAAAAAAAGAAGTTCATTTTATGCCCCGAGTGACAGTCGGGCTGACGAGAGGAAACGTAACGAAAAGGTCAACCGTGATGTAACGAGGAGACGCAAATCGAGTGTTTAAAGGTCAACGAGGCGAAATTTTACTGAGTTTTAATGACGATGAGTAAAGTTATCCGTGTTTTTATTAACACGCGAATAAACTCAGTGTCTAGTTTTATTGCTTACCAGCCAGTTAGCTTAGCCATGCTAACTGCGCTAACTGTGTAGATTCTGCAAGCAGGGAACGTTCCCACAACATTATCTGACATTGCCTACAAGTTCTAATTATGTTTGAAAGAAAACATTTAATCTGATGCTCAAAGAATGTTTTTAGGATATTAATCCTTTCTAATAATGTTCCTGTGAGGTTAAAAGTGAACTAAGACAGAACGTTTTAACATTCAGAGGATGTTTGGAGGATGTAGTCAGGTTATGTTCCATGATAGCGAAAGAAGAACGTTCTCGAACCAACATTCAATAAATGTTTTCTAGACGTTATCGAGGCTGCAGAAGATGGAATGCATTTTTATAAAATGCTTCTAGGATTTCATGTATTAACGAAGGTGGAACATTTTGCCTGCAATGTTCTGAGGATGTTCTGGGGATGTTGCTGTTGAGAACGTTCTTCTGTAAAACGTTTCCCACAATGTCAGATGAGACCAAAGGAAGTTTGTTCAAAATGCAGCATTCTGCAAATGCTTTGAGAACATTTTTAGAGCGTCTTTAGAGAACTTTTCTGCCTTTAAGAAGAACATTCTGGGAACTAAAAGAAAACTTTCTACTAAAAACATTACTAGAACATTTAGAACATTTTAGCTGCAACATTCAGAGGATGTTTGGAGAATGTTGTCAGATGATGTTCCACGATAACAAAAGAAGAACGAGTTCTCAAACCAACATTCAATAAATGTTTTCTAGATGTTATTAAGGCCTCAGACGACAGAATGTGTTTTTATAAAACGTTCCTGTGATTTAAGATATTAAAAGAACGTTCTATAATGTGTTCCTCAAGAACATTCCAAAAGCTTTCTAGGAATATCAACAGCAACTTTGTTAATATATATGTCATAATACATCACATTTCAGGATTGTTTAGGGGAAAAAAAATCACCTGAGGCTTCAATAACACCTGAAAAACGTTTTGTTAATGTTGGTTGGAGAACGTTCCTCCTTTGTCATCGTGGAACATCATCTGTGCTGAGTTCCTTCTTATGATGTTCTTTAAACACCGATTAACACATTTCCCTCAAAACAAATATTAGAATTTGTAGGTAATGTGATCTAATGTTGTGAGAACGTTCTCTGCCAGCTGGGATGGAAAAGAAAAACCTCTGCAGAACCATTAGAAACATTTTGGAGTTGTTTTTTTTTTTCTTTTCTGATTCCACAGTGAATTTTCCCAGTAAAGTATTTTGACTGCTGAAGTCTTGAAGGAGGTTTTTCTGTTAGAATGAAGGAAACTGAGCCGGTTTGATGTGTTTGTTCAGTCTGGTGTGTTTTTAAGTTTGTTACGAACGTCTTAAATCACCCAGAATTCAAACCAAATCAGCTCTAATGAAGGTTTGTGCAAATGCAGACTGTTAGAAGTGTGTTTTTGTGAAACTTGCCCCCAGAAGTTACTCATTAAAAATAGAAAAGAGACGAAACCAGGTGTTAGAAAAGCGAGTTAACTTCACACTCTGAGGCTGTAAAATAAGCACGGCTGAATAGAAGCTGCATCGCTTCACCTGTCGAGTGTGACGTGGCAGAAACTGGAAATACAAGCTGAATCTTTTACTTTTTAATGAACAAGCTGCACACAGACATCAGCAAAACTTTATTGTTTTATGGTCACACAGGACGGACACAGTGTGACAAAGAGCTGCAGGTGACTGGAGGTAACACAGATGTCCTCAGAGCTGCTGGCGGCGGTGGATCAGTTCCATCTTTCTACTGGTTTGAAGAGTTAAAACACAACATTCATTCTGACTTTAGCTTCATAGAGTAAAGAGCAGCAGCGTTCTGAGGTGAACGGTCCACACTCTGGGTTACCTCAGATACAGTCCAGCTTTACTTCCACTGCTTCTTCTCGTAGTCCCACTGGGAAGAGATTCCCTGGATGGGGTTGATCCTCATGTCCAGGATCCTCTGGAGCTGCTTGGCCTGCCAGTCGTCCTCGAAGGTCCGCGGACGTGGAGGGTAGACTGGAGACACAAAGACCAGAGACAGAGACATGAAGTCGTCAACAACAGTTTACATCCACTTATAGGACCATGTAGATCCTGACAGTCTGGAGTTTCCAGTGACTCCTATAGCTCCTCATTTTCTATGAATCTTTGTCACAAAGAACAATCATGCATTTTGGTTATTTCATGGATTTATTAAAGGTTTTCTGGACGTATGACAAAACCTACTGGTTCATCAATATACAGACATTAATGCTAATATGTGGTTGAACATCAACTGTTGGGTTCCGTCCACAATCTTCTGGTTTATCTTTGACTTTGAATCGCTGCAGTTCAACTAAACTTGTCGTCTTTCTGACTCAGACTTGTTCCTTCATCAGTCCACAGGTTCTGGATGGTTCCAGTCAGGACTTTGGGGAGACCAGTCTAGAACCTTCATTCCAGCCTGATGGAACCATTTCATCACCACTTTGATGTTTGGGCTCATTGTCTGGCTGGAACATCCAACTGTGTCCAAGATCAACCTCCTGCTGATGGTTTTAGGTTTTCCTGAAGAACGTGGAGGTGATCCTCCTTCTTCATGGTTCCATCTACTTTGTGTAAAGCTCCAGGTCCACTGGCAGCAGAACAGAACCAGAGCATGATGCTGCCACCTCCATGCTTGATGGTAGGTTTGGTGTTCTTGGGGTTAAAGGCCTCACCTTCTCTCCTCCAGACATGTTTCTGCTCAGTGTTTGTTCCATCTGACCACAGAACTTTCCTCCAGAAGGCCTTTTCTTTGTCCATGTGACCAGCAGCAGACTTCAGTGGAGCTTTAAGGTTCTGCTTCTAGAGGAAGAACTTCCTTCTCCATCAGCCTCTCAGCTCATGTTGATGTCAGACCCTGTGGACACTGACAGCTGTGTTCCAGCAGCTTCTGGTCCATCCAGAGCTGCTTTCTGCTGATTCCTGGTTGACTCTTGACCATCCTGACCAGTCGTCTCTCAGCAGCAGGTGATAGTTTGTGTTTTCTCCCTGATCATGGCACAACTGGACCATGAACTTTATACTTAGAAACTATTGTTTGTACAGATGATTTTGGGATCCATACCTGCTTTGAAATGGCTTTCTGACTTGTTCAAGTGAATGATTTGCTTTTTTTTAGCTCTTTGCTGAGCTCCTCAGACTTTTCCACTGTAGTGTTTGAGTCTAATGAGTGGATCAGATGGTTCTATTGAAATTGGATCAGAGGAGTCAGCAGCTGTAGTATGTATGTATATTTCTGACACAGCAGATTGTCTAATTGAGGTGAAAATGTGCAAAGGACAGAACACCAACAAAATAAGTTTATCTGCACCAATTCTGTCCAAAGAAGTCAAAGATGCAACAAGAAACTTGTGCACAGAAACCAAAAGTTGAGGTCAGAGTGACCAAAGGACATTTAATGAACATTAGAATTAGCGTATGTTTTTTTTTTGAGGCAGCAGATTTTGTAATTTTCTAGAAGACCTTCAATAAATCTACGAATGAGCCAAAATGCATGGTTGGTTTTTGTGATACAGACGAATGTGTTTAACATTCAGAGCTGTAGGAGTCACTGGAAAGTCAAGGCTGCCATGAAACACAACCTTTACGAGTGGAAGTCGACTTTTGTTCACGACTGTCTAAACGCACTTTGCTGACACGACACTCCACAAAAAGCTGCTGAACTTGTGTTTGACCTTCCAGCTCTGGACTAACTCCTAATTAAAGCCCTTCTTTATCAGACCTCTGGTCCTGTGCATGCTGGGAGACTCCAAAGCAAACCAGAACTGTCATTAATGATGCTAGCTGTGCTTTTTCCTGCTCCGACAAGTCGAGACGTCTTCCGCATCGACTCTCCTGTTTTTAACCATCCACATATTCAAGCAGAGAGGTGAGTTTTACCGTAGACTCTCTGCCACCAGACCACCAGGCCGGTGAAGCCCATGAAGAGGAAGATGCCTCCAATCACGGTCTTCCACTCGTCGGACGGCTGCTTCATCTCAGCGTAGGTCTGTTGGAACATCATCCGGTACACTGCAGGAGGAGACACGAGTGTCTTTAATACAACATGCAGATCTGATCTTTATATTTCCTGCTCGTCAGGTATTGTTGCTGTTTCGCACCACGTTGATCTCCTCGAATGTAAAAACCTTCTTGGCAATAAAACAGATTCTGATCGTGCAGCTCACATTAACGATCTCCTATCCTTCCATCCCAACAAGTCAAATAATATCCAAAATCCTCACGTCTTTGTTAATGTCATGCACTCGGTGGTGGAAGAAATAATAGAGTCTCCATTACAAATAACATCCTGCATTCTGAGTGTTTATTATCAGCTAAATGGACGTAAATTAGTTCATTCTGCAGCGAAACACTTCCTGTGATTTCTGTGTTATTGTGATAGTGGAGAACCTCAGATTTGACTATAATTAGAAGCTTAATTGTCATTATAAAGACAGCATGTGATTTGGAACTTTGACGGCCTTATCTGAGGAAAACGTGCGTCTTTAGGGTAAATAAAAAAATACAAAAAGTCTATAAAAAGATCATTTAAAAAGGTTCTCAGAAGGCATAACCTTCCTTCTGCTCCTGTATTGTGATTAGAACACATGAGGTTGTTTTATGTGAACCTCAATGGAAACAATATTGTGCTTCTTTACAAACTTGTTTTGTTTTTGCTGCACTTTTAACAAAAGAAGTAAATCCATCCACTACGCAGCTAAACGTCGCCTCTCTGAGAGTTTTATTGGTGCTAATCTACATTGTTCATGTGTAAGTTCATCATTTCATATCTCTACATGAGGAACACAATCTTTTATTAAATCTTTAGTTTTCACCTTCTTGTACAGTTTTATTATGGTGTCCTGCTTCTTTCACGTCTTATTTGCATGTAACACATGAATTTCTCCTGTGAAGGATCAATAAAGTTGATCTGATCTTAATTTACCATCAATGTGTTTGTTGATACGCTGTTGGTTTGATCCACTGAAACCTAGTTAGTTCATTTAATT